GCTGCCTTTAGCTTTTTAGCTAGCATGCCTGTATTGCACACCGCTAGCTTAGCGTTACGCCAGTGCTGACGGGTGGGGGCGGAGTGTGCGCAGTTTGGTTTGGTGGGCGGGGCGCTCTGTTCTGTTGACGGGGCGGGGCACCCCACTTGTATAATGGTAGGGGAAACACTGCTACTAATGTTTAGAGTAGCAGCCACTCTGGACTCTAAACTGCATATTTGTGAATATGTTGTAGATTTTACAGACATGAATTTTAAAACATTCCTCAAAAAGCCGACGACAAGACTTAGACGTGAAATATATTGAAAGAATTTGCAATTGCGGCCATATTTTACGCATAAACTTCGGCATCTGTTGTGAGCACGCAAACCGTGTCAACTGTCAGACATCGGCCTCGCTGAGAAAAATGATCCGACTGTCTGGCTGTTATTTCCGTCTGTGTCATGATCTTACTCGCTCACTCGGGAAGTGTTCCTATTGACCTCCTAAATGCTGCGATTGATCGCAGAGAAGTTGAGCAGCAGTATTGATCGGCAGCCTTTATCATTTGCTGCTTGCAGGGAGCTGGAGAAGCCGGGAGGGAGGAGGGGCAGCAGCCCACTGGATAAATCTGAACGTTTGCCCGGCCAGGTGACACGGTGACATGCGGGACGTTTCTGCAGACCTTGCTGTCTGACCTGTAGTGACTGATTAATCAACCAGCGAGCTGACTAAACAACATGGGAAATAAGGAAACGTTTGTATTTGAGATGTTTCAGAGTCCTCTCACCTAGCTCATCCCAGAGCTGCCGGCACTTGTCAGTCATACCGGTGCCTTGTTGTCTCCATAGTGACAGTCGGGGGTCTGCCATGAATTGCTCTGTTATCAGCGTTAGCATCCGGGCGCCGTTAGAATCTCGCATTCGAAGCATTTCCCGCACCTGAAAAGGAGTAGAACTCTGTTATTGTGAGAAATTCATTAAAAAAACAGTTTCTGTGTGATGCTGATTTATGCTCTGCTTGTTAGACTGATTCACAACAGAAAAAAAAATACAGTTTATCTGTAAATGATGCACTCAGGACATTAAACAAGAAGGCAGTGAACATATTTGTCAAATAGACAAACTTAAAACAAAACAAAAAACAAAGAGTAATATTTTAAATTTTGTCTCAACTTCCTGAAAGAAGAGAAATTCATACTATTTTAATTCTCCGCATTGAACATTTAAAGTAACAAAAAACAGCAAACAGTTGCTAATAAAAACTGATCAATAGTTTTAAATTCAGGTTTTTGTACAAACTTTGTAGAAATAAACGTCCTTTATTCCAGTAACTGCTCTGCAAGTCAAATGCAAATGAACCAACCACAATCTGGAAATCTTTTTTGTTCCTAGAAACTGAGTCAAAGAAATTGAACACTTGATGTTGAAAGGCTGCTTTACTTAGTAAAAGATAAGAGTTGTAAAGATCTGACCTAACTGTTGGCAAGAAAGTGGAAAAAGTGATTTTCCAAAAATGAAAATAAATAAATAAATATAATTCAATATTCCTGCATAAAGGGAAAAAGGTGTCTAAAGTGTTGCTATAACAAGTGTGGGCAGGTAATTAAAAATCCATTAAACTGATCAGATGAGAAATAAAGTCTTTATGCAGCGTAATAATAAATGTTCTAACTTGACAATTAAGACAGTATAATCTCTAATCGTTGCTACTGAGATGGTTTAAATTAAATTGCTACACTCTAAGGAACAGAATAATCTATTCTTGTTTCAAGATTTTCCAAATCCATTTGTAGAGCCCGAGCTGTTGATGCTCAAAGTTCGACAAACTTCAGACAAAGTGTCATCACATGCAACGATTAAAAGCAGAGCCATCAGTGTGTGGGTCAGACTGGTTCTGTTGGTTGTTTGTAGGGGTGTCTTCATAATGAGCTGTCACTATAAACATGAGTCTGGGGCTTAATCAGGCAAAAAGGCTCTTTTATAAAACCGTTAAATGGTCGCACTGATCAGTCCATCTTCAAGTTACCTCAGGCTAGAGCTGGGTGATATCTCGATATTTTAAAAATATCGAGATAATTTTCTTGTGATACAAGATGAGACTATATCGATATAAAACGATATAGTGTTATACTTGAAAATCCTCCTCCTGTCGCGGCCCCCTCTGTCTCCCTCCTTGAATACAAACACCTGGCCCCTCAGCTGCACCCTCCCCGCTTCCTGTTTCTCCAGGAGGTGGGCAGGAGACGTTTAGCACAACAAGTAAACACAGAAGATAATCTGAAGAGTAGCTTAGCTGCTGAACAAAACGAAAAACAATGGCTGTTCATTCAGAGATGGTTTGGATTTAAATTGTCAGATGAGTGGCAGAAAGATGATTTCTGTAGACAACGCTGAAAACAAGTCCTGACAAAAGGTCACAACTAAGAATCTTTTCCACCATTTGAAACAGTGCTATAAGTAGAGAATGAATTTTTTTTTCTCTCCCAAGTTTTCAAGCATAAATGATCATTCTGACAGAAATCATCAACACTGTAAATCTGAAATTATTAAAGAAATATTAATAAGGACCTTAGCGAACATGGAGCTGAGCTGCTTCCCGGAGCCGTAGTATCCTCCCTGGGACAGGAACTGTTTGACCTGCTCTCTGACTTGATCCTCGTCCAGATGCCAGCAGTTGTCATCATCAATGCTGGCTCCTGCAGTCGGGTCTGGAGCACCTGAGAATATTTAAACACACACACAAACAATAATCGACCATCATGCATTGCTTAAACTTTGAACTCTTTAAGGACCTTTACTTTATATATATATACATATATATTTTAATGTCAATTTTTTTGAAATAAATAAATGCATTTCCCACTTCAGTACAACCCCAAATATTTTTTTGAGTTTTTATTTTTTTATTACAGTCCTGAATTTTGTGAAGACCCTCTAGTCCACCAGACCTTTCAGTTCCAGTAGCTGAAAAATAAAGCCTTGTTTTCAGTCAAACTTACACTAGACTCAGTAGTATGACATGGACAGGTTTTTTGTACTTTTAATTTATTATTAATAATAAAGAAACACAAAAACATCCCGAAGAGCAAGAAATGTTAGCAGGCAATAACTCAAGAGCACGGCATCCTTTCGTCACAAATGACTTTAACTAATTAAGGTTTGCATCCTTTATGCAAATCACTTGAACACATCAGTGACTTGTCATTCAAAACGTGATCTGGTGACGTTGACGGATAGTTTGAGATCTCTTCTTGAAACTCCACTTTGCTGATTAAAAGCTTGCTGCAGAGATTGTACTGCTTTGATATCTTTAAGTTTTACATTAGACTTGCAGTGCACCTACAGGCAGAAAGGAGATGCTCGAGCTGGATTAATCGTCCGCTGATGGAATGTTAGGCCAACTTTTTTTCTCCCATTTGACTCTGTGTGTGTATCTGAGCAGCGCTGCGGAGAAATGTAGAATAGTCTCCAGTGGGGAAAGCTGCTTTGATCTTACAGGAAGCGAGCTGAGAAAAGCCTGGAGATGTGATTCCAACTGACTGAGGGAGCACTGCAGCAAACAGCAACATGCCTCCTTCAAAAGGCAGTCCCGCTCCTGGATCGACTGAACTTCAACCCCCATGATCCCCATTGTCAAACACAAACAGGAAGCAGAGCGCGGGGCTTCCTGGACGCAAGCGTTCGAGAATGTCAACACTTAGCAAGAAGGATGAAATGGAGACAAAGACTTTTGTTTGGTGGATGGGTGTATTTTGTTTCTTGTTTCCCCCAAAGCAGAGCTGCTGTGGATCTCCTCTGTTCCTTTGCAGTACTTTCTCCGGCCTTTTCATCTTTCCTTTCCCCTCCATCTGCTTTCTCCCATCTCTCAGAGTGCCATTTCCCCGGTCCCTTCCTCTTAGCGTCCCCTTCCTCTTCATGCATGTCGTCTCCTGCATCCATTTCATCAATCACCTCCTTTTTCCTCTGATTTATTCGATCAATCCCTGCCAATGGGAGGGAGTATTGGCTGCGAAGATGAAACCAAGAAATCAAACGGGCCATTTGAAGCTTGGCTTGCTGCTTCACTGAAGTAATCAGGTGCTTAGATGTTTGGGAGCCGGTGGGCTAGCATACAGCATGTTTCAAGTCTGAGGGCTTTAAAGTGTGGCCTGTCACTGTGAAGATATCTCCACAGAAGGACCGAATGCACCCCACAGAGCTGGAACTCTAAGAAAAGTCTTGTACTTCCCTGCCAATTGTTATACATTACTGGAATAAAAAAAATCAGCAGCTGATGAATTTAGATGGGCAATAAACTAGACTTTTCTTATTTAGAGTGTCTCTTTAATTAAAATCTATTAGAATATGAAATTAAAAGGTTGTGGGGGGTTCTCACCATGAACCTGATTAATCTCAGAGTTGGAAGAGAGGATCTCGTCAGCCAGTTTCTGAGCTGTGGGCAGCACCTCAGTGTGGTGGGCTGTGATCAGATACTGGACAAGCTTCTGCAGCTGATCTCGGTTCATCTGGAACAATGTTTCTGAGATGGGCAGCCTTAGTTTCACCTGCAACAGACACACATAAAAGCTAAATTACATTTCAATGACAAGCATTTTATTACCATTATCTGGAGCAACATGGAGTTATCCTGGTGGCAGCTTTTAACAGACATTCCAAATAGAAAACATTTTTTACCTCAAATGATCAAACATACCACATTTTTCACTGCATAAGTTGCGTTTTTTTGCATGACTTACATGCCCTGCATATTATAGGCCAAAGCGACGTATTCATGGATTTTTCCCCGATATTTATAAACTAATGTTTAGCTGAGATATGACCATTTTCATTCATTCTGACTGAAAATATTGAACACTAACATTTTCAGCTGCTAGATGGCACTCGAGCAGTATGGCATGCCGTTGTGTCATGTAATAGGTAAAAGTGGCTATTAATGATACACTCCGCTTGCCACAGACTGCCACAGTCGTCCAGCTTGCCTGGAGCAACCAGCTTCATTTTGCTGCACCGCCCCAGTGAAATGCAGCTGGTTTGACCATTAAAGTTCTTTTATTAAGTAAAAGTTAAACTGAGACACACCTTTACTATAAAGTCGAGCAAACAAATAATTGTTTTTAGGTGCTTATCTTGTTAAATTTGCACAGCGACTCGTCCTGTGCACGCGCTTACTTCCACGTATCGGCTTTTGAAATGCAGCTGATTTGACCGTCAAAGAGCATTTACTAAGGAAAAGTTCAACTGAGACACACCTTTACTATAAAGTATAGCAAACAAATAATTGTTTTTAAGTGTTAATCTTGTTAAAAATTCTTGTTAAAGTCCTCCCATGCACGCTCCAGCAATCACCATTTGGCAGCCAATCAATTTTTGGCACAACACCGGCCCACATTTCCTGGTTGTCAGCGGCGACGGGTAACAAACGCGACGCGTCAGCGGTGACACATAATGGATGCCACGTATACGGCGAAGCAACATATTTATGGATTTTTCCACTTTATTAAACGTATTTAGACTGATGCGACTTATAGGGTGGTGCAACGTGTACAGCAGAAAATATGGTAACGATTGCACTGCATGTCTTTAGGCTGTTACCTGCTCAGGCTTGCGAATTCTGTAAAGGGAGAGGGCCACCACATGCGCACAGTAGAAAATGTCTCGGTTTCCACAGCCACATGTGACAGAAGTGATCTTGCAGCGGTCGAAGCTGATGGCCACCTTGTGGGTTATCTCAGGTTCGGATGACGTGGCTGGTTCAGTTACTGTGCCGCTCAGGTGGAATCCTGCAAAGACAAAAGGAGGAGGAAAAGAAAAAGCAGTGAGATGCATATAAAGCCATCATAAAATTAATACCGGTAGTTTGCATTTTGACTCGAGTTAGTCAAATTTCTTTTATAAGCATTTATGAAAAGCTTTTATCGTGTGGACTGTTAAAAATACGAAAATCACCAGAAAGGACATAAAGACACAACAACATATGTAGTAATAGGAACTTTTTAAACAAAACATAAACCTTCTAAACAGACTTGATACTTTGTCTTTAAGCGTCGGAGCATTTTACTTTAAGAAAAGGGTTTTACTCATGTGAAATCCTTCCCTGACCCTAAACACCGCACACACACAATCTGCCCCAAAATTGTAAGACTGGTTGACTAAATAAACTTTAATTATGTTTTGCACAGTTAAACTTTAGAGCTACTTCACACACCATGCTGACCAATTACCATTTCATTCTGGTGTTCTGTTTTAAAACACCTGTGGGGAACCATTTGTTCTACTTCATACGATAAATTAGGGATAGTTGGTTATGCTTGACCAAGGGGTTTAGAAATTTCCCAGTCGACATTTCTTCTTAATATTATGCATGCTGCGACACATTTAATGTTTAGGTACAATTGCAATTTCAAATACAGAAGAAACAAATTCTAATAAAGAGACAACTTTGGAAAGATTATGTAATTCATGATTAACTAATCTGGGACCTGACCAGACATTTTTCGCCCCTAAAATGTGCTCATTTGGAATGACAAGAAATCTCCTTGAATCTTTAGACATTTATTAAAACCACAGTTCCGTTTTCATTATATTTATGTTCTACTTGTTTATAAAAATTAAATAAAAAAAAATATTCCTGCAAGACAAATGCCAAAAGACATCATTCAGTCACACAGAAACAATAAAACTGCAGAAGATTTTTTTAATGGCACAGAGACATCAAGGTTACTGCCAAGGTATCGACTGCATTGTTTTATTAATATATATATTAGGTTTCTATTGCAAATGAGACAATTGTGTCTCACCGTGACAAACCTGTGTAAATAAAGGCAATGAATGAATGAAAAAAGCCCATTCCCCTGTCTTATTTCTATCACTATATTTTTGCCTTATTCCAATAAGATCAATAAAACTGACGTCAGCATTTGAAATTAAATATAATTTGATGAAAGCTTTGCCTTCTCATTAGTGTTACCCTTTACAGTCTTGATTCTTTAATCAGTTTTTCACAGGGAATCAATAAAATATATTTCTACTCTATTCAATTCTAAAACAAATACTGTGACTAATATAAAGTGAGGGATTTCTTTTGTAAAAGTTGCACAAAAACAATGGCGTCTAGTTGGGTGGGTGGGTAGTGGGGATGGGATTGGATTAGACAAGTGAGAGCAGAAATTGAGAATTTAGGAGAGGAGAGTGTATCTGGTATGTCATGACATCTCATTTCCACAGCTCACTTACTTGTAAGGTGAGAAGTGTGTGTGCGTGTATGTGCAAACTGTGGGTTAGTGAATCTCACCAAATTGTAGCAACTCAACAACCCTTTTTACTGCTAAAAGACAAGAGGAAGACGTATAAAGATAGTCAGAGCTAGCTCACCTGGAAAGCAAAGATGAATATATTCTATTACCTAAAAGTTGTACGTCTAATCCCCTGACAGATTAACAAACACAAACGCAGGTTCATACTCACACATGGCCAGACATGACTAATAATTCTGAGGTACACAGGCTTTGGTTGAAGACCGGCACAATAAACATGTTTTACTCATTTCTCAGGCACAATCCAACAACTTGCTGTTCCTAACCAGGTACTGTGAGTGCACATAAAAACACAATCAGCAGGTCTTAATCAACTGCAAATAACTTACTAATACAAAGAAAGATAAAAGTTAAATTAAAAAGAGTGACAGCATGCATGCATGCTGCTGAGCACATGGACTGTCATCCTGAAGATGTTTTCACAAATCAGTACAGAAGATGTTCAGGAGATTGTGTGGAGAAATGAACACGGGCAGATACAGGTACATCCCAAAAAATTAGAATATTGTGGAAAAGTTAAATTTTTGTCAGTCACTTCAGAAAGTAAAACTCATACATTATTTAGATTCATCACACAGAGTGAAATATTGCAAGCCTTTATTTGTCATTTTGATAATTATCACTTACAGACAGTGGTTAAAATGATGTGTTGTGCTGTGCTGTACCTCTGTACAGCACAGTTTGAACAACTGGGAGATAAAGTTAAGAGAGACCAGACCGAGATGGTTTGGATATGTCCAGAGGAGGGACAGTGGGTATATTGGTAGAAGGATGTTAGAAATGCAGCTGACACAAAAAAGACAAAGTGGAGATATATGGATAGAGGTAGAGAGGACATGAAGGTAGTTGGAGTGAAGACAGAGGATGCAGAGGACAGATGGAGGAGGAGGACTCGCTGTGGAGACCCCTGAAAAGGGAAAAGCTGAAAGAAGATTGTTTACAGATAACGAAAACTCAAAACTCAGTGTCTCACAAAATTAGAATATTGTGATAAAGTTCCATGTTTGAAACTCATGCACAGATGAATCCTGGACATGAGCTCCAAATGTCTCATTCCTCAAGTCCAGCCACTCCTGAACCAGAGACGTCAGACGTGTCTTACTTGGGCTGAGGAGACAAAGAACTGGACTGATGCTCAGTGGTCCAACAACCTTTTTACAGATTAAAGTAAATTTTCACTTCTTTTGTAAATCAAGGTCCCAAAGTGTAGAGGGAGAGAGGAGAGGCCCAGAATCCACGTTGCTTGAAGTCCAGAGTGAAGTTTCCACAGTCAGTGATGGTTTGGGTCCATGTCCTCTGTTGGTGTCGGTCCACTGGGTTTTGACACATTAACTGGGCTACAACTTTCTGAGCAGCATACAGGCCCACTAAATTGTAATAAATCACTGATTAACAATTGCACACAACTGCTCAAGACGATCCAGAATAATCCAAACAGGACATCGGACTATGATGGGAAGGATGAGTAAGAAGCTCTGATAAAAAAAAAAAAGACTGTAAGAGTGAGAGAGTGTGATGCATCTGCCAGTGACAGACATAATGAGTCCTCCAAACTGTACAAATCTGTCCCTCCTACTGAGTCCTCCTGCTCAAACACTGTCTTGCAGCGTTACAACACTGGAATGCCAAAAATGGCTTTCAAGTCTGTTCCTACTTTTTGATAGATGTACTTACAAAATCCCTTTTTGTTTCGCTAAATAACTAAAAAATGTCTTGCTGTGATCATCAGAGTGGGGAGCCAAAGACCAGGCAAATCTAAAGGGGAAGTAGACTTTTTTTTAAACATTTGGGGAACATTTGAGAGCTAACTTCCCACCTTGCAGTCTTGTCAGTCATCAGTCATTTCTGTACTCGTCTCAAAACTCTTGTCAGAAAATGTCTGCACCTTTGATGGCAGACAATTTTCAGTCTCTCCCTGGGAGCGCAGCACTCTCTTAGCTTCAGACCAATCGCCCTTCCTTTCCTTTGTGTCGGTGTCTGTTAGGTTAAAGCCTATTGTTGCTCAGGACACTGGGATGAATGTGATGGTGACACTGCTGCTCTTTTCACTTTCAATCAAGTCTAAAATGGCTCACACACAGTTCACAGTCCGGCTGTCTGGCACCCCTCCCCAAAGACTTTGCCAGTTTTCCACACAAAAAAAAACCCTCTTCACTGCAGGGTTCAATTATGTGGGTAAGTTAGTGGTTTTTGGCATTCACACCTCAGTCAACATGACCATTCCTGGCACACTATATGACACACAAAAGCCTCATTGGATCAACATCCTTTAAAAGTTGAAACAACTATTTTATTAAAGAGGGACATTATTCCGTAAATCTTAAGCAACTCTATATACTGTTATTAATAGGTCGGCTTTAGTTGGACTGCAAGGCATATCTCTTGGCGTACAATACAGATTAAAATACATGCCAAATAGGATAACTAAACATAGGTATATATATATATATATATATATATATATATATATATATATATATAT